ATATAAGCAGTTGCGTTTCATTTGCTAATCACTTATTATACGCAGATGACTTGAAAATTTTTGCCGCAATAAGAAATTTAAACGATGTAGCTAGGCTTCAGGCCGATCTTAATGAACTTGCCTGTTGGTGTACTAATTCCTTTATATCTTTAAATATTAAAAAATGTTGTCAAGTCACGTACTCCAAATCTCGTGATCCTCTGCAATCGTCATACAATATCTATACATATAATAAAATTGTAACAGGTCGATGTCTGTACATTATAGATATTAAAGAAAAATTAATGTGGGGGGTCTTTATAAGAGCACCAGAGGCCAAATCAACCATTTTTAGAATTTTTGTCTGTCTGTCTGTCTGTATGTTTGTTCGCGCATCACTCGAAAACGAATGCATGGATTTGAATGCAGTTTTCACCGGTGTATTGCTAGAGGTCTAACTTAAAATATAGGAAGAAAAAAAATAGAGAGTTGCCACCTGTTGTAAATTGATAAGAAAAAATGAATATTGCAATATGGGCGTCAAATGAAAGAGGCTGAAGAAGGCTTACAGTCAAAAATATTTTTTTAGAGTTGCCACCTGTTTGAAGATGTACATTTAATTTAATTTATAGGATAAATTGAATATTGCAATATGGGTATCAAACTGAAAGGGTTTAGGAAATTATATTGCCGAAAATATTTTTACGGAGGGCTGGCACCTGTTTGAAAAATTTTATTGTATGAAATTGGTAAAATAAATGAAATCTATATCTACATCTATACATATCTGTGTTCATATGGAAAAGTAGCTTATGTCGAAAGGCTGGCTTTAGTATAAATCGGCATTCACAGCATACGATTGCGAATGACTCACTGGCGATAAGCCGTTGAACAACTTTTGGCAAATAAACGTGGAAGAAATAGTTCCGATAAGAGCAAGTCAATATTCTTATTAAGTCTCATCAAAAAATTCCTTGCCGTTTAAAAAATAAAGGGATTGCCGCATTATACTAAAGCCAGCCTTTCGACATAAGCTACTTTTCCATACGAACACAGATATAATAAAATTGTAATAGGTCGATGTCTGTACCTTATACATATTAAAGAGAAACTAATATGGTGGGTTTTTGTTAAAGCTACAGAATCCAAATAAGCAATTTTTTGAATTTTTGAATCACTGTCTGTCTGTATATTTGTACGCGCATCAGTAGAACATGGAATTGAATGCATTTTTCACCAATGTAGCGGAGTATTGATACGGTAAGGTGAATACTGCAATATGGCTGTCAAAAGAAAGAAATTTACAAAGGCTTACAGCTGAAAATATTTTTGTGGAAGGTTGCCACCTATTTGAAAACTTTAATTTGATTTAATTGATAGCATAAATTAAATACTGCAATATTGGCATCAAACTAAAGAGGCTAGGAAATTTTAATGCTAAAAATATTTTTAGGGGATTTGCCAAGTTATTGAAAAATTGTATTCATTAAAATTTGTAAAATAACTGAAATTTTCCAATACGAAAATTAAACTAAAGAGGATTAGGAAGCTTACTTTTGAAAATATTCCTGAAGCGGGTTTGAAAACTTTAATTCAGTTAAATTTATAATATAAACTAAGTGTTGCCATATGGGTATCAAACGAGAGTATTTGAGAATAAGAAAATTGCAACAGGCCGATATCTCTACATAATAGATGTTAAAGAAAAATTAATAGGGGGTTTATTAGATCAACAGAAGCCAAATATAAAATTTTGGTATGTTTGTCTGTATGTTTGTAAGCGTATCACGCAAAAGCTAATGTATGGAATTAAATGCAGTTTTCACCGATGTACATATTGCTAGAGCTCCAATTGAAAATATAGAATCCATTTTTTTTTCGTTTTAGTTTATCGTCGATCATTATTCCTAGGTATTTGAACGTATTAACTTTTTCCAGTGCGTCGTTTTTTATATTTAGAGTTAGCAACGGACCCTTCTCAAAATTTCGCCTTGATATAACCACAGACTTAATTTTTTTTCTTTTTTTCTGTGTGGAAGGTTTCTACTACTAAACGGCCTCACCGACTTGGTACATATTTGGCAACACCTTCAAAATAAATATTCTGACCAAAAATTTACTCGGTATGTAGCTCGGGATATTCCTAAAATTCTTATACAGACTAAAACCTAAAAAACCAATATATCTCTAAAACCAATGTATTGCAAATGCATTGGGAAAGGGGGCGTGGCTCCTTCCTTCCATACAAACTGAACTTCTCATGTAGCTTATCTCTGGAACTGCTTACGATAACGTCCTGAAATTCGACACAGCTACATATGTTATCAATACCGTACTTATGACGAAAAGTGATAGGCTGGATCGATATACACTTACGTAAACGCGCAAGTATCATTCGATTATGAACCATTTTCGCCTAGATTTCTTAATCCCATTGAACTATTGTAACTTTGTCTTTAATTTTCAGTAAGGTAAAATTTATGTGAAAATTTTGAAGAATTTTGTTTACATTTTTCACAAAGAATGGAGCTTTGCTTTTACGAGTTTCGCTATAAACTGTCCTATCTACATACCTATTTGCATAAAATGATAGCCGTTATCGTTGTTCGGTATAAACTCAAAACCCCTGAATAGAGTTCCGTCAGATTGTCAGATGGTCCAATTATATGCTACTAGAAACCTCGCTAGGTGGTGCTGGAGTAGAGTTGTTTATAAAAATCGTATTTATTAACCGATTTCGTTCAAATTTTAAATGTGAGCTGTGTACCTGTATGATGGAAAATTCTTTTGATAAAAATTTACCCGATTAGTGCCGCTGGAGTTAAGGTTGAAATTCATAACACGTATTCATTTAATGATAAGCAATGGTTTTGCAGAAAATTAACCCAATGGATGGCGCTGCAGCCGAAATATATAGAAACCCCGTATGGTTGGTCAGCTTTGGCCCTATTTTTAAGTTATACGAATTTAGTTTTCAGATGTCTAAATGAAGGATGGGGTTAAGTTTTTCTGACGCACGATCATGCGGTCTTGCATCTACCCAGAAATCAGTTCATAAATTTTACCACGAATTGTAAATGTGGTGAATTAACAAGGAAAGATTACCGTAGGTATATCAATTCCTTCATTTGAAAGACACCTAAGAGATCACACGACTCATTTAGCAATGTACCGGAAAACTTTTCATCCTGTGGGACAGCGAGGATTCTTGGCCCTCCTATAAAGAAAACGCTCTTCTGTGCTCTTGAGTTTCCCTATAAGAACTTTTATTGGCATACGCATCGCACCAATGTTGTAGTTGCAAGATATACAAAAAGATTACGCATGATTGGCAGAGATCTCACAGGTGGAAATAAGACCATCAGTAAAGCTCATGACACCAAAAGGGATTGGTATTCCATATGGCATCACATCGTTACTATTATTCGCCTATGTGTGAGGAGGATACTGCACCTTAGTGGTTTCAACTTAAATCAAAAATTTTGACTTTACAGACTAATTTTGTTATTAAAAACTCTTTTGCATTGGCCAACGCAAAAGCTCTTATTAGGCGCCGCGAAGTAAGCGGGCATTGGCTAGTCTCTAATAATGTCCTTCAATCTGTGGATGAGATCAAAGACCTTGGAGTGATTTTTGACTCAGATTTCTCTTTCTCAAGTC